TGGTGTTTTCAATCTGCCTTTGGCCTTTTGACGACATGGGGAAGGAAGTTGAAAAGCCTTTTGTAAAATTGTATATCGTTAGTTTGCCCTTTTTGTTATAATTTAATTTAATATGTGAGAAAGAAAGAATTGGTGAGCTTGGGGAGCTCTTTTACAGGCCTGTTGAGCTAATATTCTTTTTCTTTTAATATGTAAACAGTGTATCCCTTCCCTGTCCCAATGTGGTTGTGTTATTTTTTAATTAAGAACCACATGGGCTTTTAGAGTAAAACACTATTGTGTTAGAAAAGAGCACCTTTTCTTCCCAACTGGGAACCTGAGCTTTATGGTATTTTGGTATGGTGAATTGTTGTGGATTGAATTGAAGAAACTTGGTGCTTGAGGTACACTCAAGTAAAACTTGCACCCAATCCGTAGGACTTTTTAGTGTGCTTGTGCTTGAGGTGTTGTGCGAATGCATAGACAAGATGATTGTGCGACCTGGCACCTTGAAATGAACATGAGATGTAAATTATTGCCCTCCATATTTCCACGATGTTCGATAATAGTACAAGTACATCCGCCCCGGTTTGACCTGCTAACATTGTTTCCGGATTAGAAGTGGGGAGCATTGACTGTATGCTTAGACACAATCAACCATGTGTTGGTCGAGTTCTAGTTCATCTACATGAGTATGCAAATTCACTTGATTACACTGTTCTGCAATAGATGCGATGTACTGGTGGGCTAGTTAAAAGTTGCTAGGAAGGCAAAAGTTGCGGAAATCACGTCGACCACGGTTACTAAGTTGGTAGTGTTCGTGAAGGCTTCTCTGTGGAGCTTATTGAGTTATTTGGCAAATGCCTGAAACACATCTATTGGTTTTCTTGATGTGGCTCTCTTGAGTTCTATTGCTTCATTTGCTTTCCTGACAAATCGTGTGTGTTTATCAAGTTTCCTGACTCACTCAAAATTACACCGCGAATTATATCCCGACTAGAGCCCAAGTTTTTAAACTCTAGCCTGGTGCAGTATAGGGCAAGTATTTAATTGTCAAATCCGGGCCGGTCCATTTACCCCTACTTCAATCGCTTAGGTTGTTATCTAGCAAAACAGTTTTGGGTTTAAAACTAAGAAAACTAAAAACTAAACAAGCAAGGAAAGTAAATGGAGGAGAATTCTACTTGAGTGGACTTCACCTGGGTATTGCTCCCCCTAGTCTCATGCTAAGAAGAAACAAACAAAGCTCCAGTGTAAAGGAAGTGTTCATACACCGCAAGGTGGGCGCAACTAGCTTGGAACAAACTCCCTTAGTCGATCAAAGATGAAAAATCAACAACTATAAGCTAGGGGAACTAGCTCTCTTAACCGTTAGGTCCTGGATTGTGATTCATAGTTAGGGAACCTAGCCATCCTTACCGATCAACCAAGGAGATTCCTAACTCTCTTAGTTAGCTAATTGAGATTCGTTGCAACAAGTTAGAAAGCTAACTCACTTAACCTTTCGGCTAAGGTGACAACGATAGGCTAGGAAACCTAAACCTCTCGACTAGCCGACTAAGGATTGCAAACCAAACCCTCGGAACTTAATCCTGTCGGCGGAGACACCAATCCCTGTGGAATCACTGCCTTATTCAGATACTTGAGGTTTTGGTCTTAAATCGACCTAAACGAGGTTACCCAAGTGGCTAAGAAGTCTAGCTTCCTATTGGACCAAAAGGGGTTTTCCACCCTCTAGGTCAATTTTACCCAATATTGAGTTAAAGCTAGCACACTCAATCATTCATGAATAATACCTCCAATATCATATAAAACACTCAATCAACACAATAGGTTCATGTCCTTACATCCTAAGACATAAAGAGACTAGGATTCACAATAGCCAAGTGAGTAGGCAGTCCATAACTAGACAAGAGAAAACAACAAAAGGGGAAGAAAGAACCATGAAGTGATGCCAATCTTTCCTCCTTGTTGCTTGAGACACCCTTGAGATGAAGAAATATTCAATCCTCTAGCTAGGAACAAGCCCAAAGCTCCTTCCTCCTCCTTTGATTTGCACTTTCTCACTCTAGAAGAAACCATAACCTCTCACTAGAATCCTCTTTATTATGAAAAATGAAAATCTAACCTCAAAATGAAGCTCTCTTCCATCCTCCTTCCAACTCTCACTTTATACTGAGATCACGCCCAGTTCACGGCCTGAGTTCACGGTCGTGAACATCTAAACGCGTCTGTGAACTCAGTGTCGTGGCCAAAATGCACCGCTTCACTTCCCGAGGTTCACGGTTTGTGCTCAAAGTTCACGGTCTTAGCTACCGTGAAATGCCTTGTCGTCAGTAACCTCTCGAACCTTGCTGGACGCCTTGATGTTCACGGTTTGTGGTTCCAGTTCATGGTTTTGGGAGACCATGAACTCCAATTTTGGACCGTGAACTGCAACTCCTTCATGGACGCCTGCGCTTCACTATTACGACGACTTTTTTCGATTTTTGCACTTTTTGACCTCCAATCGTCCAGAAACTCGTCCTCGACCCTTCCACGTGTGCTAGGACCTGAAATATATAAAAACAAGCACAACCTAGCGTGAAATATGCCGAGGGATGATGAAATGCAAAGCCAAACTATCAAGAAATGAGGGGGTCAAATGTGTACAATTGGACCTGAATCACTTCCCTGAGATCTTCTTTGATTTCCAATGCTGCTTCGTCGTATTGGAGTTTGTCTGCTACATACATTGCGCTCAATTGGAAACACAGTCTATGGAGAGGCGGATCTTGCATTAATAATCATTGTTAAATTATGAAAAGAGGTGAATTCTTAGGTTTAGTAGTATTTGAGTCATATTAGGACGATCTTTAGGTTTTCTGTATTTCATATATATATGACAAAAGCTTACATATGCCAGTCGTACACTATATGCTTGTGTTCACACTAACTATTTGTACTTTGATAATTTTTTATATGATCCAAATCCGAAAAGAACCCTCGAACTCAGATGTATGACCAAAGTACGCAGATTCAACGATCTTTTCTTGATTTCTCCTTCTCGAACTTGAAATAAATGATAGATATGGAATCAATCGGACAATCCTAACTCGTGACAAAGGACAATTGGTATATTAAACCAATCAGATAGAATCAACTCGTGGAAAGGGGCAATTGATATAAGATAGATGCTCACCACTACTAGACGTGTCATCTAGTTAATAAGAGACACGTGAAACTCCTAGTGTTTTCCTTAAGAAGAAAATAAAATAAAATTAGGCTTGGCCAAAACAACCATGTTTGTTCCTTCTTTCCTTATTATTAAACCATTGTCGATAAAAATAAGAAGTAAACACAACTTCTACTTTGTCGACGTAATGGCGATTTTAATAATACCATAACTCTGCTAGCCATACTTAACACCTCTGGCTAAAAGAAAACCCATATATCATGACAAGTCTCAACTTCACTCCAACGACTGTGATGTTATCGGTGCAACGCTATTAGTGTCTATGCAACTCATACCTTCACTTAGTCGACAATATAAGATAAAAATCAATGAGTTGTCTAAACAACATGACTGCGATAGACACATCCAACATTTCATGATAATCACATAGAAAAACTTGTACTTCTTTTAAAATTTCAATTAACTCGTACCTGTCAACATCCAGCAAGTTGGCACCGATTAAGGCTAGCTGTGGATCCTCCTTTGTGCTAAGGTTGACTTCTTCCACAATGTTGCGAGCAGCACTAAATCCTTCTTCCACCTTGTGACTCAAACCATTGTCGTTGTTCGGCAAATCATCATCGCCAGGAACGTAGTCGGCCATCAAGACAGGCTTCATGCAGACAAGCCTCTTTTCGCACTGATAGACGACCAAATTCTCCCGCAAGACCGTGATTTCGGCCTTCGCCACCTTCTCTCGAGGTGGACTACTCATTATCGACTTGTACTTTAGAATTTGGTGGACCATCTAATGCGAACAAAGATGGTCTTACAATCTCAGAAAATGGATTCAAGAACGCCTCACTTTACACCATTGAAACAACACCATTGCACGATCCCTCTTCCATATTCCTAATTTTCCGAGGACCAAAGCATCCATGGTACAAAGGAGCTTCGACAACGTTGCCCCCCACAACATTAACCATATTGATGCTGGCAACATTGGGAAACGGGCCAGTATCGACAATCATGGCCTCCTTCCTCGGCTCTGATAATTTGAACCGACCTTTTTCAAAGGCATCCTGCACCACGTTTCAAAACATCACGCACATGTTAGTTGAATGAGATGCACTGTTGTGCCACATACAATATTGTTTTCCCTTTAATTTTTCAGTTGGCGAGATAGCGTACCCTCCAGTCAATTTAAATTGACCATCTTTGTAAAGCCGGTCGAAAATCAGATATGATTTTGAAACATCGAAATAATATTTTCTAAGTTGAATTGGAGCACGATTGGGCTTTCCACCTTGTGGTTCCCCATTTAGGGGTGTTCAAACGGTGTGGTTACCATGTAACCGTTTAGACCAGTACTATTTGGATAATTGGTTTGGTTTGGTTAAAGTTTTTAGCTTGTTTGGTTTAGGTGGTTTGGTTTGGTTTCAGGCACTCCTAACGAGCCAAACCAAATTAACCAGATAAATAATTAGCCATATATCTAATATATACACATACTTAATACTTTGAATAACCACTCAAGAGTTAAACGTTCATCCTTTTAGACTCATAAAATATAAAGCTTGATATTGTTCCTATAATGTATATTTGTATATGTAGATTGTATACCACAACATATGAACGCCTAATTTAGATAGATCTCATACATTATGTTGGATGAAAACTTGAAAGCATGGTCATTTTCAGCCTATCAAAATTGCTAAAAGACTAAGTCAATTAAAATAAACACAACAATTCATTAACCCATACCATTGTGATAAAATTTTGTCAGGTGAATACTTCTATACTAACCGTAAGATAATTGTCTTAGTTGCATGTATTTATGTTAAGGGTCAACTATAACTATGTGTTGATTGTTATGTTTTATTCATTATATTTTTTTTATGAGAATGTTTTTTGCATTATATAAATTGTGAATTGATATTTTAACCGAAAATTTTCTCACTTAAAGATAATATGATTTTATATTGGTTAATCTGGTTAACCAATTAACCAAACCAATTAAACTTTAGTTTGGTTAATTTGGTTGTTGTATTAGTTTGGACGGTTTGGTTATGATATTGTATTTCCTGGTTAATGAAATTTAGCCTTATTTGGTTTGGTATAACCATGGTAACCATTTGAACACCCCCATCGGGCTTGGCTAGAGAAGCACACACATATTCCTTCCCTTGCACAATCTCGGCCAACGCAACCTCAACCTCGTCATCACTGCCTTCAACGTGATTCACACCATTAATTTCAAAATTAGAAAAATATTGTCCACGAGAGCCACTTCTCCTCTGTTCTTCATGGAGAAGGGACTCGTACCTAACAACACTAGACATCAATTGGAACATATCTGAAAATTCTCTATCTAGAAATTTTTTACGTAGCTAAAAATTTAAACCACCTTGAGAAAGTTTAACAAATTCGCGTTCTGTCAAGTTCACAAAACAGTGATTTCTTGCGTTCTTAAAATTAGTTAAGAAACGTTCCACCGTTTCTCCTTCTGGTTGGCGCATTCGTGCCAAGTATGCCATTGTTACTTTTGGCTCAAAATAGTAGAACTGAGCATGGAACATTTGTTCCATTTGCTGCCATGTTTGAACCGAGTTCGATGGCAAGTTGACGTACCACGCGAATGAGTTGATGATGTAGAAATCACGACATTGTTTGGACCAAACAACGTCTTTTCACAGAATCTCAAGCTCGTCGAGCTCGCGACATCGCCAAACACATGCCACTGCTGAACTCTCGCTACCGTGACGTTGTCTTAAGCTAAACAATGTCGCTTTCTAGCCTCGCGGTGTTGTTGAACTTGCTAGCAACTCCGGGGAACTTGTAAAACCCTGGTACGGTCTTACTGGGCGCACATATGGCCCCTGACTCGCGATGTTGTTTTCTACCAAACAACATCGTTTCTAGTATCGCAGTGTCGTTGGATCTTCGTGACGCCATCAGTCATGTTAGGCTTGTCTCACAATGTTGTTCTTCACAAAACAACATCGTTTTCTACCACCGCGACCTCGTTAAGGCTGCAATTTCTCGTGACATTGTTTTCACTAAACACTGTCGTGTCTTGTTTTTTTTATCTAGCGACACTATTTTAACTAAAATATGCAGCCTCTTGGTATCATGGCCGACTTTGAATTCGCGATGTTGTTTTAAACTTGGACTTGGCCGTCCACCCCTGGCCAAGCTCCTACCCACTGTGGTATTGTTTTTAACTAAACGGTATCACTTAGCAATACCGCATCGTTGTTGGTACCTCAAGCGGTATTGTTTTCAACTAGATGATACCGTCCAAAATAATTATTGAAAATATCAATTAAACTGGTCATCCTGAATACTCGGCCATCACTAAGTTGTTTTTGAATTAAACCATGCCACTCTTGGTTCCGTGACAAAGACTCACCCGCTTAGCTTGTCTAAACGACTTTGTTTGCCAGTATTGCAGCATTGTTTTAATATTAAATGACTCTGTTTCCAGTGTCGTGGTGTTATTGGGATTACGAATGTAGTCGCCCTCCGCAACATTGCTTGTCATTGAACGGTGTCGTTTCTCTTCTCTTGCAACATTGTCAAGCTCGCAGTTGAGATACGACATTGGCCGAATCTTCTCCTTCTCCGGTAAGGAATACAAAGAACTCCTTTTCCAACCCCAACACTGACATTGCAAATCCTCACGACATTGCTTTTTATTAAACAATGTCGTTTCAACTACCGCGGCATTGTTTCGCTCTCTCCAGTTTCGCAGTGCAGTTTTAGCTCTGGTACTAAACGATGTCGTTTGTGATCATGCATCATCGAAATAAATGTCGAGACTAATGATTCGGGCCTAATTGCACACATTTTATCCCCGTTTCCCTTAGGCATTTGTACCACTCCTAAAAGGGTGGTTTTACACTAGGTTTTGTGCGTTTTAGTGTGTTTCAGGATCCAATAGGTGAAACCAGCCCCGAAGTCGAAAGTTGGACTAAAAGAAGCAAAGACAGGGCAAAGAGGGTGATCCAGGCGGAGTTCACGGGTTAGCATTGGAGTTCACGGTCCACTATGGCCGTGAATTGAAGCCCAAAACCGTGAGCGCGATGCGTCTAGAGAGAAATCTGCAGTTACTACCGTGAGACGTGTTCACGGTCAACAAGACCGTGGAGATTGAGGCCAAACCGTAAACTCCTGATGGCGAAGCGGTGCATTTTGACATCGCGCTCTGTGTTCATGGACGCGTTGAAGAGTTCACGGCCGTGAACTGAGCCCGATCCTGGTGTATAATGTGAGTTGAAAGGAAGAGAGAAGGGGAGCCCAAGAGTGAGAAAGTGTCTTTTTCTTAAGATTTTAGAGAGAGAAGAACGAACCAAGGAAGAAAGAAGGCTAGGTTGCTCCCAGTGGTGGACTGGATAGATTCTTCCTGTTATAAACGTGCTGCTACGGATCAGGAAATCGCTAGAATCGATAAATCTCCCTTGAAAGGGGGATTTTCTTCTCTAAACTAGTCTAAGGTGGCAAATTAGATTACTAGCACCTTAATGCACAAACTTAGGGGTGCTAAGCACAATTATGCACAATCACTAGGATGCTAAGCACAACGCATGCACAACCCCTAAGTTGCTAAGCACAAGCATGCACAATCATGGTGAATAATTCCTCAAACATTGAATTGAACAATACCCAATATCAATCATCCAAACCACATACAAGAAAACTAAATGGTAGAGTTAGTGTTTCACTACACCCAAGTGAAAGGAGGACTACTCAATGGTAGAAAAGGGAAGAACAAAAGGGGAAAAAAGTGGAAACCATCTTTTGGGGATGCCTCCTCTCTTCTTGACCCTTGAGCTGAGATCTCCTTGGGGAAATCTTCCCAAAATCTGCCTTGAAGCCAAACCCTAACCTCTTCTTCTCTTTGGTTCTGTTTCTCTCACTATAATGCTTAAGAAGGTGTTTCTCTCACAAAAGTGGGCTCTCCCTCTCTCCTCCTTGCAGTTCAGCTTTTAAACCCGAGAAGAGCTGAGTTCATGGCCGTGAACCATCAAACGCGTCCGTGAACTCAAGGCGTGCGCCAAAACGCTCCGCATCGCTCACGTCAGTTCACGGGCAACGGCTTGTGTTCACGGTCTTAGTGACCGTGAACTCACCTTGCGTTAGTAACCTTCAGATTGGCTCTGGACGCCTTGCTCTTCACGGTGAACTCCCCTTCTTCACGGTCTTGCATGACCGTGAACTCCTTCCCTTAGCCGTGAACTGCGCTTTTTCACCTCTTCTCCCGGTTTTCGATCCTTTTTGCCAATCCTTCGACCCCGAGGCTGGTTTCACCTGTTAAATCTTGAAATACACTCAAACACGAAGAACCTAGCGTAAAACTGACCTTTAAGGAGCGAATTTGGCACAAACATCTAAGCAAAACGGGGGAAAAAACATGTGTAATTATGCCTGAATTATCTTTCAAACAATTGAAGTAGGGGTACACAGACCAGCCCAAGTCGATATTTAAACATACTTGGTCTGTATTGCACCCTACTAAGGTTTATACTTAGACCTTAGGCGAGACTTAATTGTGATACTCGGGACGAGTCAACTAATTAATGCACCATTTAATTAATCCAAAATAATTTGGGTGTCAACACTAATTTAATATAAGGACTGAAACTATTGGTTAAACCTCTAAATAACCTAATAAAATAATTAAAAATACCAAATCCAAATTAGCGCCATACACTGGCACACGTTTCTTCTCCTTTTCATTTTTTGAAGTCAATTGGCTCAGGAAAATTGTAAGTTTGGTCACTGGATTTACTAAAAACATTCATGTTTGGTGACTAAAAATATTTAATTTCATTCGTGGTCACTAAGATTAGTTCGATACTTCATGTTTGGTCACTCTTCGTTAGTCTCCGTTAACTTTACCTTACGTGGCAGTCAACTATCATGGTTGACCGTTAAAAATGTGATGTGGCATTTAAAAAATAATAAAATATCATTTTTCCACCTAAGTATAATTATTAAAAATAAAAATATATATTTTTAAATTTTTTTATTTAGCTCCATTACAAACATGTTGATCTTATTTTGGCATTTTCCGAGCTACAAAATAGAGTTTGGACTGCTCTAATTATTCGTGTGTACAAAACAATCAACGGCGGCGATGGATACAAGGTCCGCAGAAACCCTCCTCCTCCTTCATTCCCACAAAGAAACTGACACGCCAAAACACAACACCAAACTGCGAGCAAGTGTAATCGCAGTCCGGGAATGCAGTAAAGTGGCAAATTCTAAATATCAACCCGGGGTCTAGATCTACTTCCTACTCCGTGATTATCTATTATCTAGCAAACTAAGTCGATTGATTTTTGGTCTTAATTGAAAGCAGAAAGAAAGCAGGAATTGGTTCGGTTTTCTCAAGCAAAGGAAGAGTCACTCGGGAATGAGTCCCCCTAGCTCCTTAGTTAGGTCTCAATTGTAATTACCCTGGGTTGATTTACTGTTGATTAGACTGCGGAAGATCCGACAGTAGCTTGGAATCTCTTAAGCTGACCAAGCCTTCTCAGACTAACTACCAGGCAGACGACTAGTCTTCACTGGGATAGAAAGCTGAAGCAATAAGCACAGAACTCCACTACTGGAATTGGATTCCAGTACAAAGCAATAGACTGACTAACTCTCGTATAGCCAATCTACTACTACCGAATGAAGAGGCTCTAACAACTTAATCAGATTCTATCTATCTCAGGTTGCAGCAGAAATCAAGAAAAGCTGATCAGACTTCAATCAATTCAATGAAACATGCATCATGCGATTAAAACCAAACAGTATAATCATCCAAAGTCATTACAATCAAGATCCTAACACATGGAACTACGGTTCTTCATACCCAAGTGAGAGAAGGGTTCTACTCCATAGAGAGAGAGGAAAACATAAATCAGAGTAGTCATACTCATAAAGATGAGGAAAATCTGCTATGGGATGTCAATCATTCACTCCTGGGGACACAATCTGGGCTTCAATGGTGAGAAATCCACTCCAAATAGCTCATAGGGTTTGTTCTTCGCCCTTTCTCTCTCTAAAACTCTGTTTTTGCTCTGAAAAGTAGATCCTCTCACTTGTAGCTCGAATTTGGGTTAAAACCAGAATTCCCGACTCACATGGGCAGGCCACACGACCGTGTAGCTTACCCAGATGCCCGTGTGAGAGACAAAACGCCGAGTTTCGATTAATTGGACTTCAGGCTACCTACACGGCCAGGGACACACGGCCGTGTGGCATGCCCAGTCTCCCCGTGTGAAGGCTCGCACAATCCCACACGGCCACATTGGTTCCTTACACGGCCGTGTGGGTTTTATGTGTGCCCGTGTGGCTTCCTCAGCGACTCGCCACACGTCCGATCTTCGTCCAATCGACCCCGAACTTGCTCCCAAACCTTCATATCACAAACAAGCACAACCTAGCGTGAAATCGGCCTAAAACAAGAGAATCAACATATCAAACGGCTCAAGAATAGGGGCAAAAACATGTGCAATTAACGGTCTATCAAACTCCCCCACACTTAACCGTTTGCTTGTCCCCAAGAAAACCAAGTCAGACACAAGGTAAGCTTACATATTTCAATCATACCAACATTGGGGAAAAATCATATAGGCACAGAAACACGTGAATCATACTGCTTTCAAACACCAACACATGAACAACTTCAATAGCAACCTGGACAACCACCACAGACGACATTTGAGTGCAGCAAAATCGAGTAAAGGAGGAGTCTCCCTTCTGTTCATCAACCAACATAGACTTAACTCAATTACTTACTCAAGACAGTCACCTCATGCATAAAACTCAAGAGATCAGAATCAAGACTGAGCCATCTAGGTCCTCACCGGGGTAAAGAGTGTAAAGAACAAGGAAATGAATCGCTCACTCTCGACCAGTGGGGTCAGGACAATTTGATGCGAAAAATGCGCATACTTATTCTCTCAATTCCTAACATCTCTTCACCATGACGACAGCCTCTAAATGTTAGAGTTCACATAAATGGGTGTCATCACTAACCAATCCGGAGGTCTTAGACACAGGTTCAAATGACTGGCTAGGGTCTTGGACATGGGGAAAAGGCCTTTTAGGTGGTGGAAGTATTCATAGCACAAGGTTCCACATTTCCAAACCCAACAAACTCACAATCAATCAAACCAGCACTTTCTTTCTGCTATTCTGCATTACTCAAATTATTCAGAGCACAAGAGCGAAGGAGGTCACATAAATGTTAGTATTTCTAAGCCAGACTGCTAAGAAACACTACTTAATGGGCACTATTTAGATTTTTGGTGGTGGCTCTCTTTTGCTTTCATTTCTTAAGAGAACCACCACCTGTGCACATTTTTCAAACACTTGCCCAACTTTTTAAGAACTACCTCCAACTCTCACATTATATTTAGCAGAAACAGCAGAGAACATGCAAAAACCACTCTGTGGAACCTTCTAAGAGATGCAAAAGGGTGATTTTTCATTGCAGACTGAAAGAAAGGTGAACACACGGCTCAAAGGGGCTGACTAGGGGGTATGACACACCAGGACAGTCAATTTGGTCGTGGGCTAATCCTATGCCTCCATCATCTTAGCTAATGACAACGTGAATGCTACACATCATGGAAGAGGGGTCTATCGCACAAGAAATAAACGATCAGGCTCAAATCTCTCATGGCTACCTATATGCTCTATCTCTCATTCTAATTCCCTGAACTAGATGCATAAACGACTGTCAAGAACAAGTGATCCATCCAAGTCACAGTTGGTAAGCAAACAGTTGAAAAACTTAACCCCTACACAATCCTACTGCACGTCTCAGTCATCATAATAGGGTGTCCTAGTCACAATCCAGTTGTCATGCATTAATCCGAAAACCATTCAATTCACCAATCAAAACACAGTGCCAATATGATCAAACAGCCGTACTTGGAGCCCTCAAATCTCGAGATTTGGACAGCGGACTAGGCTCCAAGAACATGTATATAGATTCCAACCGATACAAAGCACCCACCCACACTTAAGCACGACATTGCCCTGAATGGAGCATAGGGAGAGATAAGGGGAACGATGTTACTTGATGCTCTAAAGCACAACACCTAACAATGGCCAAGTGTAACCAATGAAAGAGACTGCAGTATAGTGGCACAAGTAATAAATATCGAATCCACGGGTCTCTAGAGTTACTATTACTCAGCTTCAGTTCATTATCTAGCAAACTAGATTAAGGATTGATTAACCAAACTACTCTACTAACTAAACTAAGTAAAACTACTAATTACAGTTTGGGAACTCACTTAAGTATGATTCCCCCTAGCTCCTCAATTAGGTCCAAGTTGTAATTCCTTTTGGTTGTTTTACTGTTGATTAAACTGCGGAAGATCCGACAGTAGCTTGGAAACTCTTAAGCTGACCAAACCCTCTCAGTCGAACTATCCGGCAGACGACTAGTCTTCACCGGGATAGAAAGCTGAAGCAATAAGCACAGAACTCCACTACTGGAATTGGATTCCAGTACAAAGCAGTAAATTGGCTAACTCTCGTATAGCCAATCTCCTACTACCGAATGATGAGACTCTAGCAACCTAATCAGATTCTATCTATCTCAGATTGCAGCAGGAATCAGGAAAAGTTGATCAGACTTCAATTGACTCAATAAACATGCATCATTCGATTATAATCAAACAATAAAGCATCCAAAACTTCATACAAGAAAGATCCTAACTCATGGAACTAGGGTTCCTCAAAACCTAAGTGAAAGGAAGTTACTCCATAGAGAAGAGAGAGACTGCAGAAATCTGATCTAGATCTTCAATCTCCATCTCCAAGCTTGATTCCCGAGCTTCAATGGCGAAGAAATCCTCCAAAATAGCTCCAAGAATGTTCCCAAGTCGCTCTCTCTCTCTAGGGTTCGTCCCTTGGGTGTTTGGGATCCAAAACCCAGCTCTCCCCCTTTCCTTTTGCTGAAAATCGGGTTTTAAATAGCAATTCCCGACTCACACGGCCAGGCCACACGGCCGTGTGGCTTTCCCAGCTGCCCGTGTGAGCCCTCGGTGATTTCCACACGGCCATATGGCCAGTCCACACGGCCGTGTGGGTCGTGCCCGTGTGGCATGCTCAGCCTCTATTTAATGCTTCGTTTCTCCCTCGTCCGGACTCCGAATCAGTCCCCGTTTGATCCCAGACGCTCGTAGTCTCGTTATCTTTCTTTTCATAACAAGCTTGCATGATTATTTGTCCATAAAGTGAGGTATAAATCCATTCTTCTTCAGGTCATGCCCGAGTTTCTTCTCCCGAATCGTCAATTGATCTCTGATTGATTTGAAACTTGCGCCTATGCTTCACTTTATGTGCTAGGACCTGAAATGTGACAAAGGAACATAACCTAGCATAAAATAGGCCAAAGACACGATAATTCAAGCTCAAACAATCAAGAAACAAAGGGGAAAACATGTGCAAATACTGAGTCATCAAATCCCCCCACACTTAACTGTTTGCTTGTCCCCAAGCAAACCTAACTCAAACCAATGCAGCTCTCCAGAGCTCTATAGCAACATACAACCCCGATCGTCGGTAGAGGATTTCCTAGATCATATAGCAGCTTACGAGGTCAACTGGTCTTCTAAGACGTTCCCTATCTCTCTCAATGCGAGTACTAGACTCAAACCAGGATCATGAGAAAAAGTAGAAGTAAGACAGTCAGTTCATGGATAAAGGGACTCACACCATTCACAACCAAGGATTCGTTGTACCGGGGTGCTCTTTCACTTCATTTCACCGTTGGAACCCCTTTTTCTCACTTTCATTTACAATTTTTCTTTCATTTGGTGGGGTTCCAACTGCAGTCTTTTGCACGGTCGACCCTTATTAGTCGAGCAAGAGCAATTTCTGTACATCTAGCGCTCGCCAGAGTACTTCTTTTAACTCCTTTTCCTCAACTCGTGTGGAGGGTCAATGAAATTAAGGGGGGTCGGAAGCTCTATCCGTGCCCTTAAAAACACATCCTCAAGTAGGCAAACCGTTCAACGGGTGGAAGTTTTACTTGTACTAGAGACAACTTAGCTTCACCTTGTAGGAGTACCCCACTAAGGATCACTAAAATCTCTTCCAAAACCCGATTTTGTGCAATGAACGTTGCCGCACACGTTGGGCTTACCCCATGTTTAAGATTTAATGATTTTGACATGGAGGACCAACTGCTTCCCATTTTCCATATGAGCACCCTGTTCGATACACGAGTCCATAACATAATCCAAACAGAGTCACCATTACCACATGAATTCAACGGTCTTAGCTCCACTAATTCACAAAATCATCTGGCACAACAGAGAGCTAGATAGGAAAAATCTTATACTTCAACATCCTCCATAGTGCTACACTACCTCCCTAGGTTGCACATTACTATAGAGACTGTCAATTCAAAGCATACTGAGCAGGCAATTTGCAAGGAAACACGTACTTGGAGCCCTCAAATTTAAAAATTTGGACAGTGGACTAGGCTCCAAGCACACAAACAGCCAAACATTCACCCGCATACATAATCAAACACCCCCCCACACTTAAGCACGACATTGTCCTCAATGGAGGAAAGATAAGGAGCGTAGAACGAAGTTACCAGATCAAGGGTGAATGATGATGTACGGGTCAGGCAGTGCATTCCAAGAAGAGAGAGTAATCAGAACACAAACACCACACAAAATCTCACAAAGGTTGAGTTATTGATTCTAAAATCAAATAGCAAAACTGACTCAACCGAGGAGAAATAGAGAACGAAATGCAAACCGACTGGTTGGGTTGCCTCCCAACAAGCGCTTCTTTCACGTCGTGAGCCGGACGATGGCTCCTAAGTTTCGGTCCATGCTAGAACCTCCTTGAAGTTGAGGTTCTCGTCGATGAGGTGGAGTCTCAAGTCACGAGCATGTGGTGTGGCAGGTGATGAAGGCTCATGTACTTGATGCAGATGAAGTCTCCACCCTCGAGACCTCTTCTTCTCTTCTCTCGTCTCATTGCCCCAAACCAGATATGACAGCATCGATTGGCCACCATCGCGTCCACCAAGAGGGACCGATGTCGATGTGGCCTTGGTCTGGCAAAGAGACACTGCAAATGGGTCCTTGCCAAGCAGTTCCTCAAAGTTTGGTGGGGATATTACTTGCAACTCATGGCCGGTGCATGCCTCTTCCACCTCAACTTCATCCTCAGCCTGGACGCCAATTGCTTCCTCACCCCCCCTTCCTTCTTCAAAATGTGGTCTCTCCCCTGGGAAAAGATCAAGAACCACCTCTTCTTTTCTTTCTTCCTCATCATCCACAACTTTCTTCCTCATCCTTGCTCGCTCTTCTTCTTCTAGAACAGATTGGAGAGCAAGTCGCCAAGCAATTTCTTCAATGGGATCATCTTGCATCTCCTCGCACGGGCCCAACATGTTAGAGCATAAATGAGGAAAGGTGTGGTCTGCAACCAAAGGACTTTCCTGATCATGGTTATCATGGGAGTTCTCTGTGATAACTTCTGTATGCTCCTCAACGCTCCCATAGCCTTTGTCATCCTCTACCTCTTCTAGCGTGGCAGCAGAAAGGTGATCTTGAGCAAGATGTGAGCAAACTTGCTTCACCCACTCTGTTTGCTTCGCTGAGCGCTGAACAGTCTCCTCCATATCATGGAGAAATGAGGGATCGGAAGTGACAAGGGCTTTGATTTGAATATCCATCTTGGAGCATGATTTCTCAGTGTCTCGAGCAAAATGCTCCACGAGAAGCCTTAATTGTTTGTTCGGATCCTCCAGTGAAGTGTAGCATGGCTCTGCAGAGTGGCCCGTGAAGGCCGCCATGGGTAACTCCAGCTCCGATGGCCCTTCTGGTTGTGGGAGAAAGTCTTCTTGGTAATGAGGTTGTTCTTGATATGCCCAGTGGTCTGATTGTTCTCCGTAGTAAGGGGGCTGGTACTGGAACCCGAATCCATAGTCTTCTCCTCCTTGATTGCTGTAGGAAGTCGCGGGGTAATACCACCCGGATGGTGGTGGATACCCCCAATGATTGGAGAAGCCATTAGGATCCATGATTCAGATCTGCACCAACAAAAACAAAAACACCCAAGTGAAAAGCAAGGGTGGAAAAGAAAAGAAAAGAAAAACGGTAAAGTAACAAACTTCTGCCTTTCCTAATACTCTAGAAAGTCCCCGGCAACGACGCCAAAAACTTGACTCGCTAAAGCACAACACCTAACAATGGCCAAGTGTAACCAATGAAAGAGACTGCAGTATAGTGGCACAAGTAATAAATATCGAATCCACGGGTCTCTAGAGTTACTATTACTCAGCTTCAGTTCATTATCTAGCAAACTAGATTAAGGATTGATTAACCAAACTACTCTACTAACTAAACTAAGTAAAACTACTAATTACAGTTTGGGAACTCACTTAGGTATGATTCCCCCTAGCTCCTCAATTAGGTCCAAGTTGTAATTCCTTTTGGTTGTTTTACTGTTGATTAAACTGCGGAAGATCCGACAGTAGCTTGGAATCTCTTAAGCTGACCAAACCCTCTCAGTCGAACTATCCGTCAGACGACTAGTCTTCACCGGGATAGAAAGCTGAAGCAATAAGCACAGAACTCCACTACTGGAATTGGATTCCAGTACAAAGCAGTAAACTGGCTAACTCTCGTATAGCCAATCTCCTACTACCGAATGATGAGACTCTAGCAACCTAATCAGATTCTATCTATCTCAGATTGCAGCAGGAATCAGGAAAAGTTGATCAGACTTCAATTGACTCAATAAACATGCATCATTCGATTATAATCAAACAATAAAGCATCCAAAACTTCATACAAGAAAGATCCTAACTCATGGAACTAGGGTTCCTCAAAACCTAAGTGAAAGGAAGTTACTCCATAGAGAAGAGAGAGACTGCAGAAATCTGATCTAGATCTTCAATCTCCATCTCCAAGCTTGATTCCCGAGCTTCAATGGCGAAGAAATCCTCCAAAATAGCTCCAAGAATGTTCCCAAGTCGCTCTCTCTCTCTAGGGTTCGTCCCTTGGGTGTTTGGGATCCAAAACCCAGCTCTCCCCCTTTCCTTTTGCTGAAAATCGGGTTTAAATAGCAATTCCCGACTCACACGGCCGTGTGGCTTTCCCAGCTGCCCATGTGAGCCCTCGGTGATTTCCACACGGCCATATGGCCAGTCCACACGGCCGTGTGGGTCGTGCCCGTGTGGCTTGCTCAGCCTCTATTTAATGCTTCGTTTCTCCCTCGTTCGGACTCCGAATCAGTCCCCGTTTGATCCCAGACGCTCGTAGTCTCGTCCTCTTTCTTTTCATAACAAGCTTGCATGATTATTTGTCCATAAAGTAAGGTAGAAATCCATTCTTCTTCAGGTCATGCCCGAGTTTCTTCTCCCGAATTGTCAATTGATCTCTTATTGATTTGAAACTTGCGCCTATGCTTCACTTTATGTGGTAGGACCTGAAATGTGACAAAGGAACATAACCTAGCATAAAATAGGCCAAAGACACGATAATTCAAGCTCAAAGAATCAAGAAACAAAGGGGAAAACATGTGCAAATACCGAGTCATCAGTTACCGGATTGAAAAATTGCGGGAGACTGGTAGTGGACCAGTTGGCGGGGAACATATGGAACGAACGAGCAGTTCTGCACAAAGGGAATAACAAGAACACACTAGCACACTGTGCGTTAGGGATCAGAGTTGGCCCAGATGGCCACAAAATCAACAATCCACAAAAGAAAACCAAAAGGACAAAAACAAACAACACACTCAGTTCAAGCTCCTCAAACACATGGAGCAAACATAAAAAGTCGAAGACAAAAACACACACTGAGGGGCGACGAGTACAGCCTATTCATCGCCAAGGTTGTCCAGATCGATGTCATTCATGAATGCATCATCATCATCAGCTGGTGGAGGAGGTGGAAGTGGAGAGTCCTCCCAGGGAGTCCTCCAGACTGGCTGCTCGCCCGGTAGCAGCTGGAGCAGGTGCTGCTGGACCTCCTGCATACGTCGAGATCGGGCCTGCTCCCTCTCGATGCGAGCTAGGGTCACCCCCTGCTGGGTCTCCATCCGATCAAGACGCTCATCAGAAGCAACCATCCGGGTCTGGTACTCGACATGGTGAGCCGAATACTGCTGCTGGAACTGGTGCTGCTGGTCAAAGAGCTGCTGATTCTGGAGACTCAGCTGCTCGAACTGGTGAGTGAAGTAGTCCTGGCCGGGGAAAGTGGAACTGCCACACCCGTATTTGAAGGTGGTGGGGCGGGCGGCAGCAGTATCATCCACATCCTCGGGGTGGACATCCTCATCAACCGCATCCTCAGGAACCTCCGGCTAGTCCTCCTCTGGGATCTGAGGTTGAGGAAACCCCTAAATCCACTTGACTCCTTGCTCTTCTCAAAGCAGGTGCATGCGACCTATCCTATATTCGCCAAAGACACTGGTGTCCCCCTGCTCTGTGCACCCCTGCAGTGATATCTGGAAGTAGGTGGCCAGGTGGGTGATGAGGGGAGTGCAGTGGAGGCTCTTCAGCTTTGAAGCACTCTTGTCGAAGGTTCTTGCCACCACAGAACCCAAGTGGAGAAGAAGATCCCCCTGGCACATGGACTGGATGAAGTACATGGCTCTCCTGGTGATGGCGCTGGCACTGTCCGAGGCTGGAGTGTAGGACTTTGCCAGCATGTGGTGGAGAATGCGGTTGTCGAGCTGCAAGGTGCTGGCCTTCGTCTTCCCAGCCACGAAGGGACATTGGCCTGGCTAAGCGAGGCGGGTGTACAGTGTCTTTAAGTCCACCCCCTCTGGCTTGGTGAGCTCGATGATGTATTCCTCATCATCGGCCAGGCCGAGGGCGGTCGCCAGGTCGTGGTAGCTCATGGAGCGGGGTGCACCGCCGAGTCTGAACTTGACGGCTTCTCCGTCCTTCCAGTCCTCCGTGTCTGCGTGCTTGAAGGTCGTCTAGAACTCAAGCACGAGCTCGTGGTAAAACTTCTCGCGAATGCATAGTAGACGGCACCAGGGGCGGTTGGTGACAATGGCGGAGAAGTGCTCGTTGCAGTGCAACTTCTCAAACTCCCGCTTGGACCAGCAATGATGCTGCCCAAACTTGCAGGACAGGACGCTCTTAAAACGATCCTGGTGGGGGCCCCTCTTCAAATATCGAATAAACGGGTGCTTGAGGTCGGGCTTCGTCATGGTCCTGCAAAAGAACAACCCAAAGTGGAACCAAAAGAGCCAAGGAAAGGTTAATCACACCCCCACACTTAAGAACAGAAAACAGTGGAACCATGGTTTCATCCATAGTTTGGGGGTCAAAAACTCGATCAAACAAGCATAATCGGGGTGGGGGTGCACATCCATGAAAAAGTAGGCAACTGAAGGTTCACATCCAAAGCAAACACACCCTCAAAGCATATCATTAAGGGCCCCAACCGGCGCCCACAACATGACATAAAAAACAGGCATTTCATCGAACACCTTGTGTGCACTATTAAGTTAAGCATGAAATTGACAAATTCATAGCACACAAGGGCTCAATCAAGCAAGAGGGACATTGCCCAACCTCATTCACACATAAACCAAGCATTCCCCTCAATCAATTGCACACAATTCACATGATTCAAAGTGGTTCTCTAAACATACACCCTAACACCCAATTCTCCATAAATCACAAGGTTAAAGTCAAAATCAAACCTGGAGACACAAGTAGAGGTGTAGGGGATGATGAGGAGAATGCAATGGAAGCGAAGAAGAGGCCAAAATCTGCCCGAAAGTGCTTGTCGAAGCCTCGTCGGAGTCTCGTCGAAAATCGCCTCCGGCGACTCAAAATCGGTCCAAATCGCCTCAAAGTGGAGGGATAGGCCAAAAATGGGGAGAAAAGGATGGGTGTGTAGGTGGTTTGGTGAAAAACCGACCAAAAATGGCCGAAAATTGCCTAAGAGGGCGAAAGGTCACGGTTTTCCAGCAAGGGGGAGAGGATTCCGGCGAGAGGGTTTGAAAATTCTGACCACGCGACCGTGTCGACCGAATTTTAAAGGCTTGGCTCAGCCACACGGGCAAACGCACACGGCCGTGTGATGTGCACATGTGCCCGTGTTGGTCGACACAGGCAGGCCGAGGATTTCCACACGGTCGTGTGAAAAGCACAACTTGCCATGTGGAAATTGTCGAGAGCTCACACGGGCAGGCCGAGGATTTCCACACGGCCGTGTGAAAAGCGCAACTGGCCGTGTGGAAATTGTCGAGAGCTCGCACGGGCAGGGGGCCAATCCACACGGCCGTGTGACTTTCAGGGCTGGCCGTGTGGGCTGCCAGAACTCCGAATTTGACCTATTTTCACTCAAAAATGACATACGACTCGAGAACAACACCTCAAGACTCAAAAACACAAAAAATCAAAAGGAAAAAGGTAAGAAAATGCAAACCTAGGTGGGGTTGCCTCCCCACAAGCGCTTCTTTACTGTCTTTTAGCTGGACGCTAGTAGAGGAACTAAGGGTCCTCGAGCTTGATCAGCAGCTCTGCGCGCTCGACAGCACCTCCCAATTACAACTTTATGAGGTAGCCATTCACCTTGAATGGCTCAGTTTGAGCATTGCTGATCTCCACCGCACCGTGCGGGAAAACTTGGGTGACCGTGAACGGTCCCGAACACCTCGAACGTAGCTTGCCCGGGAAGAGTTTCAGGCGTGCATTGAAGAGTAGAACACGATCACCTACCTGAAACTCCTTCGGGCCCCTTAACCGAGCGTCGTGGAGACGCTTGGTTCGCTCTTTGTAGAGCAGGGTATTCTCGTAGGCGTGGTAACGCCATTCATCCAACTCCAGCAGCTGCAACTTACGTTCAGTACCTGCAACACTCAAATCCAGGTTTAGCAGCTTAATGGCCCAGAAGGCCTTGTGCTCTAGCTCTACTAGCAGATGACACGCCTTTCCATAGACAAGCCTATAGGGGAAAGTGCCAATCGGGTTTTTATAGGCCGTCCTATATGCCCAAAGAGCATCATCGAGCTTGGTGGCCAATCCTTGCGGGACTGATCCACCGTCTTTTCAATTATCCGTTTAAGTTCCCAGTTCGTCAGCTCGGCTTGCCCATTTGACTGGGGATGGTAAGCCACCGACACCTGATGCTTAACACCATAGCGAGAGAGGAGTTTAGTGAATTGCCCTTGAAAATGGGTTCCTCTTTCACTAATGATGGCGCGGGGTGTCCCGAACCGGGAGAATAGCTGCTTCAGAAATGAGCAGACC